AAGGCTGCGGTGTGATGTTGAAATTCTTCAGTCATTTTTTGCTGTCCATATTATAATACCTTTTCTATTGCCTATTTTATATGTTCTCTCACTTGTCTTCCTGCTGTTTGCAGGTAGCATGATTTGCTCTCAATTTTTTTTGTCAAGCAAGCCTGCACAGTCTGCAAGCTGTGTGTTGGGGTTTTTTTTGTTTGTTTGTTTTCCCCTAATTGAGTTATCCAGCTTTAAGTTATTCTTTTGGGTCCGATTTATTTTGGAAATGTGTCTTTCATGACCACTGCATCCATCCTCTCTCCCGTACTGCTGTTAGACAGTTTAAATGTGACAAATCAACAATGAATAAGTAAGATAAATTAGTTCCTAACGTGTTTTTGAAATCTGTGGGTTGGCTAAAACTAATTTAAGTGCTGAGGAAAAAGTGCCTCATCTTCTCAGCCATCCTCAAAAGCAGCAGCAGCTGGCTGGCCAGGAGGCACACTGTTGCTAGTCGGCATGTTACAAACTGATCCCAGGTGCCCTTTTGCTTGTCGTACTGACCAGAGTGGAAGCACAGGGTCTGTAGTGGGCATCGGCGATAAATGTGCAGACAAAACCATTTCACTAGCTCTGTTCTTCTGGAAGATCTTGTTCTGTGCAGCTGTTCTACTTTGCCTCAGTTTAGTCAGGGTAGTTTATGCCTATCTGCTGCTCTTAGCCTGTTCATGCTCTTTGAGTGAGTTGTATGCTGTCTATTTAGCTTAAATGACTAATGCAAATAGTTTTATGCTGCTGCAAAAACATTGATAATTTTCTTTCTAAAGTGAAGGAAGAAGTATGTATGGATGTTGATTTCCTCTTAAAGTATTGGTATCTCATTTTCTCGTATTTCTGAAGTCTAAAGTCATTTCAATAATCATCTTTTGATGATTTGCACCTTGCATGATCAAACAGTCATTACTTGCAATAGTAACTTTGCCAAATGTATATGGAACTCTGTAGACACCTCTGAACTCAAGACAGTGATGAAACCGTGCTATTATATTTGGGGGAAAAATCCCTTGGTAATATTTTTGCTTTGCTTTTCAAAATAACATGTATTACTGGAGTGAAAGTACGTCCATACATAAAGCTATAATGCACACAGAACAAAAAAAATAAAAAAGCGGTGGAGGCAGAACAGGAGAAGCAATAGATAGGAGTATATAACAGCGGCAAAGGACAGGTGAGTCTGACTTTCCATTTCAATTTTTACCCCCTTATTGTTCATTCTTTTTGTTTTATTTTCCTCTTTGGTGCTTTTTTGGACAATCAGTCATTACAAAATTTAGCTTACAGACTTGAGAGTAAGCTCTTAGCATAATCATTACAAAATGTAGCTTACAGACAGACTTGAGAGTAAGCTCTTAGCATATTATAGTCTAGAGTTGCAGGAACTGTCCTGCTTTACTAACATTTTGTTTTTTCCCCCCCCTTTTTTTTTTTTTTTTTTTTTAAACTTTTCTGGTAAAAAAATGTATAGATTAAAATCTGGAATTCTTTGTCTATTTAGGTAATTAGTAACATAGCTAATATTTAAAACTTTCCTGGAGATCAGTTAATTGTGACCGAATCTTACTCAATGGATGACCTGCATATGAAAAAAAAAATACAAGGCAAAAAAACTTTAAAATGTGGCATTTCTTCATGGTGAACTTCTGCTGGTGAGTCAAGGTAAAACACCATTAAAGGTGGCTAGTGCTTTTAAGGAATAGCATTAACAGCAGAACAACTAAAACGGGTTAGTGTTTATTATTATTATTATTATTATTTTATTCTAGGTAGAGCTGCTAGTGACACCTGTAGTGAAGGTTGCACAACCTATCTCATTATTAGGCTTAACTCTCAGTTACTTCATAACTTGCCAAAGTTCAGTTCAGACTGAGAGTTTCCATGCCGGATGTCTGCTTTGGGTTGAATTTTTTTTGAAAGTTTCAGCCATAACAGTTCTGTTCCAAGAATAAGGCTGGTGAAAAGTGTGTTTTTGCTCGTTTGAAAATATTCTGGTGTCCTTTTTCTTTGGTGGTTCAGTGCCCCCAAGCTCCAAGGCAGGGATTTGAAACTTGGCAAGAGTTCAGCCTTTGTGTTGAAGATGTGCCTTTTGCTTCTTTGTAAAAATTCACTCTAACTTCCCGGCTGGTTTACAAGGCTTTGAAAGATTGCCATTTGCATGAGCTTAATAAGAAATTCTTAACTTCTCAGCAAGCTTCCTTTAGATTCTGTTCACACTGGGAATGCTCCAGGCAGAGCTGAGCTGGGTATTTCATCCTATTTCTGCTACAGATTGTAATGGCTGGAGCTGGCTGCTGACATTGAACTGAGAGCAAACAATCTGTCTTGTACTACTACTGCCTATTCCATGTCATCCATGTCCATGCCTATTCTTTCCCACTGCTGTGGGACCTGGATCCTTTGAAAGATGGAACTCTTTCACTTGCCAGAAAGAACCTGACTTCTCCGGAGGGGAGGAATTAAGAATCGTGGTATAGAGGCGGATGGAGGTGTGTATGCAAGAAAGCAGAGACAACCTCAATCAAAGCAGAGACCAGAGAGTCTAGGTCGCATTGGAGAAATTGCTGAAGATATGGGTGATGATTGTGGAACAAGGACTAGTAGCCAGGAATGAAAAAGAAATAAGGACAGATCAAAGACAGGTTGGGATGGAGTGGAACAGATTACCATACCCTTAGGGAAATGGAATAGAGGAGCCTTTATCAGAGTGGATAGCCTTCTGGATCTTTAGTAGAACTCCTGATCTCTGCAGAGCTTGTTTTGTCATAGTGAATGTGTATTGTGTTGGCAAAACATCCCCCCTCTTTCCTCTTTCTAGAGGATGCTCCTAGATGATGGTAATTATTAGCCTGTTTTTAAACTTAAGCACTTGAGTGGGTCTCAAGACTTGAACCATTCTGCTGAACTGTCAGTGTCGTTTTTTTTTGTTTTGTTTTTTGTTTTTTGTTTTTAAAAAAAGGGGGGGGGTGGAAGTTACACCTAGAGGAAGTTACATTATAGGAATGCTATTTAGGTAGCCAAGAATATGGTCTTTTTTGGGTTTTTGAGTTTTTTGTTTTACTTTTAAATCTAGCTACCTCAGACTTATTGCACTTAATGTGTTACTATACAGTCTCTAATTCCATCACAAGACTTTTACCAACTTTCCCCATTCCGATCAAATAGTTGCATCTTGGAAGAAGTCAATTTTGAGGACGAGTCCAGGGTTCAACAGTGAAGGATCTCTTCGTTTGTTACAGAATTTGGTACATGTGCAATAAGGGAAGCAGAAGAGATTTTAGGATTTAAAAAAAAGTTGACTTTGTGGCTAAGACATTTGCATGCTGCTTGAAGAGTTGTGAGCAATCTGTGTTTTAGTCATGGTGTTTTTACAAGATGCCCTTAAGCAGCATTATTCATAGGATGCAACTCGTGTGTTCTGCATGTTCCAGTGACTGATTTGAGATTTTCAGAACTGTTTAACCGTAAAGCTGCAAATAAATTTCATGGGAACTAAACATCATACAAAATACTGTTACTAAGATCTTTACAAGATAGATCTGGAATATCTCAAGGGATATTGAAACTAAGGGATATTTGCTCTAAACTGTCTGTTTTCTCTTTTTACGGATGTAGAAATTATTTGTCCCACAGCTGTCAAAAAGCTCAGGAATAAATTGATAGCCTTTTCAGCAGGTTTTACAGCTTTATGACCCCAATAATTCTTAAAATAAGTGTGACTTTCTGTGGGGATGCAATATGCATCCAACTTCCATTTGTAGGAGCACTCTTAATTTTGCCAAACTCTTTGGATCTCTTGTGGTTCTGGACCACTGGTCATAATTCTGCTGTTAGCAATATCTGTAGCAAGAAAGAGTACAGATCAGAAATGATTGAATCTAATAAAACTGAGGGTGTCAACATGTAGAAAGTGGTATATTCCATGGTTTTCCAGTCTTTGAAAGCTTAGTTATCTATAACCTCTCTCTTTATTTTTCCAAATCGTAAGTCTTTATCATATAACTTGTTACTGTGAATCTAGTCCCTTCTCAGCATGGACATGGAAAGGATACTTGGTCTAAACAGTTGGCTGCAATCTCAACCATGATAAGTTTCCCAATGTAAGACTGCTCTACAGTACATCATTTGTTTCACTTTGTAAAACCAACTGTTGCCTGAAGTGTAATATAAAAAACAAACAAAAAAAATCTGTCAGATTTTATAAAGGGACAGGGTTACACAACAAAGCAGCAAAGGGAGGTTTCAGGAAGTCTAGAGGCCCCATGAGACAGTGTGCTGGTATGTCACTGACGTGAGTGAGTTAAAAGTCTAGTGCTTGTTTGTTTTGACATCAATTTCTGTAGAATTAAATTGAAAAGGGGAAAAAAAAAAAGAACATACTGCACTTATAAGAAAACCAAGATAAAATGGACCTTAGGATGAAGTTAAATGGCTATAGAGGAATATTAATTAGCTAGGCATCTGTCTTGACACACAGCACCAGGTTAACTGCATGTGAAGGCTGTGACCTGTCCTTTATTTGTCTTCTCTGTCACCTTCCTCTTCTCCACTCCCCCAACAATTTAAGGACTTCTGAAAACTAAAAGGTTGTATTGATTTATGTCCAAATATATGTCATTCCACTGTGATTCAGTTTAGACTGGATTGATCTGGATTGTTTAAACATGCATCATTTCTTTCACCTTCCTGACTAATCTTTTACAGTAATCTTTATTTTACTGCTAGAGCGGTAGAAATGGGCTAGAGCGCAAAATAATGGCCCACTTCTGAACGGCAAAAGCAAATGCAGCTAGTAAATTGAACGGCATGCAGTTACAACAGCAGCAGTAAGCTGTTTGTGAATCTTGAACTGTATTATTTCCGATTCATTTGGAAAATAAAATGACCCATGAGACTCTTTCTATGTAATATTTATATAAAGTATGTTGATTGTTCCTGAATGTTTTGCTTTTTTTATCTTGTTTTTTTGGCAGCAACTTGAATTAGTGGAACCAAGTGGCTGGATTCATGTTCCTTTAACAGATACTCATAAGAAGCCTATTCGCACATTTATGATTCAGATTGCAGTTCTAGCTAATCACCAAAATGGAAGAGACACTCACATGAGACAAATCAAAGTGTACACCCCAGTGGAAGAGAGCTCTATTGGTAAATTTCCTAGATGTACAACAATTGATTTCATGATGTATCGCTCCATAAGGTGAACTTTCTTGATGAGAAACAATAAAAGTTCTCTTGATGACACATATTATTGTTTAAATATTCTAGTATTTTAAAATGTTTTTTTCTTAAATGTAACTATATCTTTACTTGGTAATTTTGAAATAAAAAAATCTTGTTACAGTATTTTGTGGTCTCTAACATTTTATTACTTTTGCTTGGAATCTCCAGGTGTTTTTGTATTGTCTGGGATCAAAATGCCTAGGCTTGTTAAAAGCATATTTCCTACCTGAAATGAATAACCTTGGTATAATGCTTAATCTTTTTTCCAGGTGATTTATTTACTTAATGATCCTGTGTGGGAATAATTGGTTATATATTGCTACTGTTTATTCCTTTGCCCCAAAGCTGGTCAAAAGAGCATTCATTTTGAACAAGCATGATTTAAAGATATTACCTGTCATATTAGTCTGTCCTTACTTATGGTAAGTAATGTGTTCTGTCTTTTTACTATGCATTTTTGTATTTTTCCTGCCTTAATATCTCTGTACACACATTAAACCTTCTGTATAACCATAAAGGAGAGCATCAAATGAAGGAGAAATGGACCTTTCCAAGCTACTCAGTATAGTATAGAGATTGATGTAAAAATGTTGAGGGTAGTTTAGGTTGACTTTTTATTGTTATATTTGTGGTGACTTGCCAAACAATGATAGACCTCCTCCAGAGGAGGGAAGACAGAGAAGTAAAAGGATGACAAAGAAGTGTGAGTACAGGTGTTGCGAAATTATATACTTAATGAAGTACACTATGTTTATTGAACAGCCTTGACCTTTGGTTAAGCTCTACAATTTTTAGGAGGATAGTGATTTTAACATATACTCTTCCTGCTAATGGACATTTTAGAGATGTCAGTCAATGATTAACCTGAATCCTAAGAATCCAGCTGAATTCACTAAATTACATCTTGACTGCATATCCACTACTCTGGAGCTGCAGGGACGGTTCCAGAGATCAAAGATTAAGGTATACACAGGTTTTTAGAGGCTAAGTTTGTAGTTATGTTTTTTTGTTTTGTTTTGTTTTTAATTCTTGGATATTGTATTCTTGTATTCTTCAGCAGATGAAATCTGACTTTAAAATATCCCAGCATATTGTTTCTACTTTGTCAGAAGTTGTCATCCTCATAGATGCTTCTTCAGATGCTTCTCTAGCTGCTTTCTAAAATTAATCTATGGAATCATCGAGCTTTTAAGTTGGATAAACTTTTATCATGTGGAAGGAAGTAATCTGTGATAAGAATGTGAGAGTGAACAGTGACTTCTGAAGGTAGGTGTATGTTAAAGGGGAGAGTGCTACTGGTAAACTTTTCAACCACTGCCAACAGTAATAAGATGTAGTTGTGCTGGAAAGGCAAAACAAAAATATGATTTTTTTTATTACACTTTGTGTCTTTCTCTAATATTTAGTATTACTGCAAACAAGTGCAGTGACCATTCTAAATCCAGCCTAAATGTTTTCCATGTTGTGTTTCATAACACTTGTAGATACATTACACTGGTATTTAACATCTGCGCAAGTATACTTTTTATGACATTTTGGTGCTCATGTAAAGGCTGCTGATCTCTAAGTCATGAGATCCTAGAGGATTGTGTCTGAAAATGAGACAAATTACTGTCTTGGTTTATTAATTCAGTACTACAAATTTGAATTGGTATAAACAAACTAGCCTGCCAAAATATTGCAGGAAGTTACTGCACATACATTGTGTGTAGCTTCCCCTCCCCCACCGTGCATCTTCAGGTGCCTAGTTCTCTAGGATCTTGCCACTTAGTTTCATTTTTAAGTATCAAAATTATCTACACAACTAAACCATTAGGCATAGTGATTTCCTGGAGACTGTCTTTGAAAACAGAAAATTCTTCTAAAGTTTATTTAGTCAAAGCTTATATATTATTCAGCTAAGTGCTTATGTGGAAGATTTCAACAGGTATAGTGAAATAGATGATTGGTAGTCTGTACTAAAGATGTAAAATTGCAAGTCTGTAAGAGCCTGAATGTATTGTGTTAGCTTGTGGTAATAGAAATAACGCACAAAACAGAATGTTCTTGTATCAGTAATGCTGAAGAGTATTAGAATAATTTTGACATCGATGTTTTTAATGAATTTATACTTTTCTCATGGAAACTGGAATATTTTAGCTCAATGCTCCTTTGTTTTTCATCCTCACTTCCTGTGGCAGTCTGAAAGGAAGCTCCTTTGCATCTATTTTCCTTGCCTGCTCCCCTTAACTTCAGAAGGGACTATTTTCTTGCCTGCTCCCCTTAACTTCAGAAGGAGATAATGCCTATCACAAGATCTTTCCAGCAGACTCATGAATAAATCCCCAGATTTTTACAAGCTTTGTCTAACTACACATACCTTCTAGAAACTAAGAATATAATCGATGTTGTCTTGTTATTACTATAACAATATCCAGTAATTTAAATTTACCAAGGAAAAGTTCTTCATGCAACTGAAACAGCAGATTTATTTGCTGTTTCTCTGAGCTGCATGTTGAGAGTAATACTTTTAGGGAGAGATATTCAGGAGGCCACTCTCTAAAGTTGCTTTGTTTTTTTGGAAAACATCCTCTAGCAAATGATTGAATGAGTATTTGCCTACTTTTTTTCCCAGTGTAGTCAGTGGAAAAGTACTAATTCATTTCAATAAAGTTTTGAATTGGCTTTTTGCATATTTAACTAAAGGTACCTTTTAATTTGTCATTGATTTTCTTGTTTATGAAAGTGAAGTCCTGTGCCTTCAAATTTTTTTGTTAGAATTTGATTAGCAGCGTTATTCTGTACTGACAGTGTTACTTCTCTAACTTGGTTGAGAGCTTTAGTAACTAAAGAAATATCTCTTCCATTTTACATATTTATTATGTTAACAGAATTGCAGACCTCAGCTTAGCTGAGTAGCTGGCAGTTTTTTAACTTCAGACAACATACAAAAATCTTGAACTTGCATGAAATTGCAGTACTGAAAGCAAAATTACTGGGCAGTTGAGAAATGAAATGCAGGAATCATCTTGTTTTAACTTGTACAATGCTTTTTTTTGTTTGTTTTGTTTGTTTTCCCCTGTAGCTGCAGTATTGGCTTTCATTATTGAAACAGGCATCAGTTTATAATAAATTCTAAACAGATTTGCTGGAAAATTAGAATGACAAGAAAATGAATAAGCAACAGTAGTATATGTGAATTATTAGGATCAACTCTATTATGTAGCGAATGTGCCACTTTGATTACAGAATCTTCTTCTGCATATATTTTATTTTGTCGTCTTAGACTTTGCTGAATATTGTTTCTTGATTTTTTTTTTTAATGCAAAAACACCTGAGTAATCTTGAGTAGTGTAAGATTAATATTTGGAAATAATGGGAAATATTTGGAATATTCGGGAAAGAAGATAAAAGGCCTTAGTTGTAGGAAATCATGACCTGGCAATAGTGTTAAACACCAATTCAAATCAAGTCCTTTAGTACTTTTTCTTTTTAGTAATACGATTTCTACATATAACTCAAATTTCAGTTCTAAACTATCTTTTTATGTTCAATCTGTAGGTAAGTACGGTTGCCCACATTGTGTCTTTGAGCCTGTAGGATAGAGATGTTGTGGGTTTTTTGCTTTTGTTCAGCTTACTGTATTGCATTAGTAGACCTCAGATGGCTCTTGTTTATTTAGGCGTGACAGTTGTTGCAAGTGTCACCTGTTGCATAATTCTGCAGTTGTCAGAGTTTTCACAAATAGGCATACTCCAAGGCTGTAAGGAGCTTGAAACTCTAATTCAAGCCCAAGTTACTGGGAACCCGACATAAAATGATCCGCCTGCACGTCTTTTGGGTAGTTGCCACATAGGAAATTCTCTGATAATCAAAGGCGTAATTTATGATTAATGTACTGAAGTATAAGATAGAAATCTGAAATTAGCCCTTTTCTGGGACTTGCTTTCCATCCGTATGCAAAAATGGTGAGGAAGTATTTGAAGCATCATGATTTTGGCATATGCTAGTGAGTCAGCCAGATGCCAAGATTGCAAGTGTTCATTAGTAAAAAGGCGTGATCTTTTATGTAGTAAATTAAACACCAGATGAGACTGAAGGACCATGGAGAGCTACCCATTACTGAGAAGGCAAATAATAGTTACTTCATCTAATATGAAGTGAGCCACAGCCCCAAGCAGTATGCCAGTGCATGAAAAAGTCCCCCCCCCTCTCAGAGAGTGGCAGCTATTAATAATTATGCAGTCAGTAATTATCAGTAAGTATGCAGACTCCAGAAGTGCAAGCAAATGATACACTGAAGGTTTTGCACCACCAAACTGTAAACTTGACTAGTGCCATGTGCCACTTACAGGCACAATCAGACTAATAAGACTGCATCTATTACAGTTTAATCACAGTATGTGCTGTTAATAAGGAGAATCAGAAGCTTCTCAAGAAATCCTGATGATTTGTTGTTGTCAACATAAATATTTGTCTTTGTTTCAGAAGGACCACTGGGTTCTTTTACAACTCTGGCTTTCAGAATGGATCTGCATTTGTAATATGAAAAGTGAGAGCTCATTGCAGTACCAAGGCTAGCTGTGAATGAAAGAACAATCACACATTCTTGTTCCTATTAAGTCTCTGTATGTAAATAAAATATGGAGATTATTTTTAGTAGTTTTTTTCCTTCAGTTTGCCAGACTTACAACTTAAATATAACACATTGGAATTCACTGGAATGATCCTTCCTTGATATCAGCATAACTGAGTGTGAGAATTGTTTGTTAGTTCTTGGATGGTGCAGCCATAACCATAACCCTTGAACTCGCTTCTAAATTTTATCATTATATGCAAGTGATTATTAAATACTCTGTGATTGGTTGCAAGAATTTGTATTGGTTGCAGTCCTTCAGCTGTTTTATCTAGTTGTTCCAACTACCATGTTATTTTTTTTAAATGCTGTAGGCTTTTGCTGGAGTAAAAGATAATTATATGAAATTTAACTGCTTATATTAAAAGAATGCACACTGTCCTCCAAAAATGGGGTTGCT